ATCTGGGTAGTAATGAGACTTTGCCTGTGATTATTTCCTCTGCCCTTACTCCTAACTAAGAATCTAGTTTGTTAAGTGTTTTGTCACAGCATAAAAGAGCGTTAGGATGGACGATGGAAGATCTAAAGGGAATAAGTCCAACAATCTGCATGCACAAAATCCTGCTGGAAGAATGCCATGGCAAATCCATAGAGCCACAGCGAGATTGAACCAAATCATGAAGCAAGTTATGATGAAAGAGATTCTCAAATGGCTTGACGCTGGAGTGATCTACCCCATTTCGGATAGTTCTTGGGTAAGTCTCGTCTAATGTGTGCCGAAGAAGGGAGGCACGACCGTGGTGGCGAGTGAAAACAACGAGTTGTTACCTACACGCACAGTCACCGGGTGGCGAATCTACATGGACTACCGCAAGCTTAACAAGGCCACCAAGAATGATCATTTCCCTTTGTCGTTCATAGATCAAAGGCTGGATCAACTTACTGGCCAGGCATTTTATTATTTCTTGGACGGATACTTGGGGTATAATCAAACTGCCATCGCACCGGATGACCAAGAGAAGACAACATTCACGTGCCCCTATGGCATTTATGCCTTTCGAAGAATGCCTTTTGGACTCAGTAATGCCCCGATAACTTTTCAGCGCTGCATACAAGCCATATTTTCAGACATGGTTGAGGATTTTCTGGAAATTTTTATGGATGACTTTTCTGTTTCTGGAGATGACTTTAAAAAATGCCTCCGAAATTTGGCGAAGGTACTGAAGCGATGCGAGGAGGTCGATCTCGTGCTAAACTGGGAAAAATGCCACTTCATGGTGACTGAGGGAATTATTCTAGGCCATAAGATTTCTGCAAAGGGCATTGAGGTAGACAAAGCCAAGATCGAGGTGATCGAGAAGCTACCCCCACCAACTTCTATCAAGGGCATTCGAAGTTTCCTTGGACATGCTGGATTTTATAGACGATTCATCAAGGAATTCTCCACAATATCCAAGCCCTTATGCGCCTTGCTGCAACAGAACCAACCGTTCATGTTCGATAAGAAATGCCATGGCGCATTCAAAGAGCTTAAGTAAAGACTTATCTCTGCATCGATCGTAGTTCCCCCAGATTGGACGGCACCGTTCGAACTAATGTATGATGCAAGTGATTTTTCCGTGGGAGTTGTGCTTGGACAACGTAGAGGTAAAATCTTTCATGTTATATATTATGCTAGCCGTACCTTAAATGAGGCACAATTGAACTATACCACCATTGATAAATAATTATTTTTTGTGGTATTTGTATTTGACAAGTTTAGGCCATACTTGATAGGCACCAAAGTCATAGTTCACACCGATTACTCAGCTATAAAATACTTAGTGAACAAAAAAGATGCCAAGCCTAGACTGATTAGGTGGATATTACTATTGTAGGAGTTCGACTTAGAGGTAATCGATAGGAAGGGTACTGAAAACCAGGTTACAGATAATTTATCTAGGCTATAAAACATTTCAGAATGCCATGACATTTTTTATATTAAGGAAGAATTTCCTGATGAGAAAATTTTTATATGCCACGGCAATTCTGTGGTAAGCTAACCTTGTTAATTTTCTTGTTAGTGGTGTTTTTCCTTATGAATTGAACATCCAGGGCAAAAAGAAGTTTCTGCACAATGCCAAATTCTATTTTTTAGGACGAGTCGTACTTGTTCAAGCAATGTGCCGATCAAATGATTCAATGGTGTATCCCCGAAGAGGAGTAACGAGATATCTTACACCATTTCCACACAGGACCCTGTGGAGGGCATTTTGGAGGTGTAAGGACTGCTATAAAGGTTCTCCAAGAAGGATTCTACTGGCCATCACTTTTTAAGGATGCCCATGAGTTTTGTAAAGCATGCGACAGATGCCAGCGCACTGGGAACATTTCCAGACGACACGAAATGCTGCTGCAAAATATTTTGGAGATAGAGCTCTTTGATGTTTGGGGCATTAATTTCATGGGACCATTCCCATCTTCCTTTGGAGACTTATACATTTTGCTTGCGGTGGACTATGTATCTAAATGGGTTGAAGCGATTGCCACACCTAGGAATGACTCGAAGACGGTGCTCAAGTTTCTTCACAAGAACATCTTCACTCGATTCAAAGTACCAAGAGATATTATCAGTGATGAAGGCACCCACTTTGATAACAAGCTAATTTACAATGTATTACAGAAATATGGAGTGCGACATAAAATTTCCACAGTATATCACCCACAAACTAATGGGTAAACTGAAGTGTCCAACCGCAAAATCAAGCAAATTTTAGAGAATGTGGTGAACCCTCGAAGGAAAGATTGGTCCCCAAAACTCGATGAAGCACTCTGGGCCTACAGAATGGCATTCAAGACACCTTTGGGAATGTCGCCCTTCAAGATGGTATATGGAAAAGCCTGCCACCTACTAGTTGAGCTAGAAAACAAGACATATTGGGCAATCAAGAAGCTCAACTTCGACGTGCAACTAGCAGGGGAGAAAAGATTGCTCAATCTGAACGAAATGGAAGAGTTTAGATCAAACTCTAGGCTCAAACTCTTCCCTGGCAAATTAAAGTCACGATGGTCAGGACCATTCGAAGTCCACCATGTTTACCCGTATGGTGCTGGTGATATCAAGAACATGGACGATGGGTCCATCTTTAAAGTCAATGGCCAGCGCCTGAAGGTTTACCAAGGAGTCTCACCATTGCGTCACAAGTTTGCGCTTCTCTTCCATGACGTAGATCCTGAGCCAACATCTTGAGGATGCTGAGATATTTTAAATTCACTCATGTGCATAAATAATTTTATTTTGCTATTATTTTAGTATTTATTCTTTCTGATTTATAATTTTTATCTTATTTTTGGAGCAAGGATTATCCCACATGGCTAGCACGTGCAGCGTACGGTTAAAGTAAGGAAAATTTGGGCGACAATTAAAATAAAAAATGAGGGAAAACCATTTTCATTTTTAATTTTACTTTAGAGTTAAAATTTTCACTTTTCCTTTGTCTTTTTCCCGCCTAGGCCCCACCGATTAATTAAATACTCCCTCCAAAATCTTTGTTTTGTTCTTATCTTCTTTTCTTTTCACTTCACTTTTTACTTTTCACTTTCTTCCATTTTCTTCTTCCCTCTTATTGCTCCAACAACCTCCATTACCACCAAAGCTTTAAGCTTTCCCATTCTTTCTTTGTGTTCTAGTCTAAACAATAGTCCGACATGTCCGTCCGCTTCTGGTACTGTCTCTCCACCACGGTTCGTGGATAACACTGCCCGAGACCAGTTTCAAAGCATAGAAAATCGGGTGGGTATTTTTTGAGTTGGGGTTTATCTTCTCCGATGAGGAGAAGGCCGACTTAGGGAGTGATGTGATCGATGTTGTTAACAAACACAAGTGGAAAAAATTTACCAAGCATCTCGCCGCTGTCAACGCGTCGATAGTGAAGGAGTTTTACTCAAACATCACCGAGCCAAATCAGCATGTCGTTGTTGTTCGTGGTATTTCTATTCGATTAACCCTTCCTTCATTAATCGTTACTTTAAATTGCAGGCTGTGAAAGACCGCCATACCACCTTCGTCGTGCAAGAAGTGGACAACGAAACATGCTAAGGCATTCTAGAAGACCTTTGTCTTCCCGGAATCCCCACAATTTGTTGAACCTTTGGCGGCAGAACATCCTGATATATCGCAACCTACCGCGCCAATGGAAGAAGAGCACCCCGCAGTACCCGCCTCTAACTCTAAACACTCCAGCCCTGCCAAACTGAGAAAGCGCACTCGTTGCGCGACTGCTTCACCACCACCCGCCTAAAGCCAAGGTACCTTGCATTGCATTGCATTGCATTCATAGCATGTAGTTTTATTTTCTTTCATTTTAGTAAGCATTGGGGATAATACTTCTCTCAAGTTTGAGGGAAGTATGGTTCTCACATCATTGCATGATAGTATCAGTAAAATAAATATGTCGTGACATTAGTAAATATTTGAATAGTTCTCTGGAATTAGTTAAGGATGCCCGATGATGATGAATCTTGATGGCTAGAATAGAATGTATATGACTAGTTGAGGATGATAGAACCAACTCTAGGACTTGCTTCTTTGAAATCCTTAAATACACGATTGTATGTTTTCCATGCTTGAGAAATTTAGAAATTTTTATAAGAGAATTCTTAAAATGTAGTGTCATATAATTTTGAATGATGAAAACCCTATCTAAAAAAATGAAAAAATAAAATGAATGAAGTTATGAATAAATGCCTCGGCATATCTGTAGAGGGACACTCCGTTATGCCATGGCATATGAGTGAATGAAAGATGTCACGGGATGACTCTACCTGACTAGCTCGGGGGTGGAAGGTATGCTCCCTTTCACCTAGAGTGTGGGATGGTAGAGTGATAGGTTGATTCCCCTCGTAGCAGAATTAATAAAAGAAAAGAAACCAAGGTGGGAGTGGATTTTGTGAATGCCATGGAAAATTAAGAAAGCTTGCTTAGAAAATTTTTAAGTTTGTTAAGCATGGATGGGATACAAACACGCACAAACCCACACAAAGAATCTTGTTCTAGGGGTCAGTACTTGAATTCTCAAACCTAGTCTAGCATGTTGAAACCATATATGCTGAGGGTTGAAATTTTATTCCATAAGACTATTATACTTATGAACTTGTCATGGTATTTTTGTTTTGCTTATTACTATCCATTGCTTGAGGACAAGCAATAGCTTAAGTTTGGGGGGTGTGATAACTCCGTAAAAGGTCACATTTTGGGACTTTTTCACTTAAGTTATTGAATGTTTAAGAGCTCATTTAGGACCATATAGATGCATTTAGAAGCATTTAGTTGCATATGGTGGAATTCAAATTGTCAAGGCATTTTATTTTTTTAAAGCGGTGCTGCCTTATGGGAAAGGTGCTTGTTTAATAATATGCAGGAATTGAAAGAAAGAAAAAGAGGAAAGGAAATGCTGTGACATCAGGAGACTGCTAAGAAGAATGAAAATACCAAGTTTGGCTGGCATTTCGAAAACGAGCAGAGTGCGAGAAGATATTTTTAAGCCAACTGTATCCTACTCTCCAAGAAGCTTTGCCCGAGAAATCTACCTCAAATATCCGCTTGGAAGGATCGAAACTGCAACCGCCAGTCTTACTGATGACGTCGCCTGCCCCTGCAGATCCTGTTTGTCCTTGGGCGTCTGCAATAGGATCATGCTGGTCACTCAGTCAGCAACCCAGGTTGTATCATAGCCTGCTCTGCCCAACTCCCAAGCAACTTAACCATAGTTTTGGGGTTTTCTAGGTAAGTCAACACCAAGTCCTAGGATTAATTTTTCCTTATAAATAGAGGATGAAGCCACAATGTTAGAGACTTTGGTTCCACCCGGATTTGAGCTTAAAAAGTTAGAGAGAGAAGGTCTCACTTTTCTCAGTCAATCCTACTTGTCGTGGCATTTCTCCTTGACAAGCCTGAGGGAGTGGTGTTCTAAGCGTCTGAAAGGAGCTAGTTTGCTAGGGGCAGTTCTTGGTGGCCGGGGGAAGCATCTGGCAGTGCACGTTAAAGGCTTTCTCTCTTCCCCTTAGTTCTTTGCTTTCATATTTTGTTGTTGGGTTGTAAGGAACGAATGAAACTTGCTTTGTGCTTGTTTATTTTGAACCCTACCATGAACTAATCCTATTTGGTAGGAGTTCGCTTGGATGTTTAAGTTTTTATTTCAATGAATGGTTGCTTTTCTATGCTTTAATTTGTTTTGTTTATGAAACTTAATGCCTTAAGGTTCTAGGAGCTACGAGAGTAGTCTTTTCTTAGGAGAATCTTTGGGTTCGAGAGAATACCTTGGCAAAATATCCTTAGAATTCGAGAGAAACTAGGGAGGAACTATATTAACAAGGAGTTCTAGGTAGTAACTAGGCCTAATCCACCTTAGAGATAAGGTTAGGATTTCATTCGACTAAAAGGAGTTGTGTAAGAACGATAGGTTAGATGTTAATGCTACTGCAAAAAGGTATTGCCGAGACATATCCTGTTATCTGGACCAATAGGATCACTGCAGGGTTTACGCCAATCGATTTTGCCAGAGCATCTTTAATCTGTCGAGTCCCTTACTAGAGATAGCATAGGGCACCTTAGTAGACTCTGTCAGGCAGGCTAGGCATAGAAGAAATACCATTCAGAGAAATAGACTTAGATTTTCCTAGTGACTCCTATCACTTATTCCCATAGTAGCTTGTCGTGTGAGAAAGCTAAAGTCCTACATTTTAAATCCAGTATTTACATTTTATTTTGCCTTGGTATTCCCTTTAATTTGCACGCATCACAATTTGATTTGCCACGACATATCCATTTGTTACCACACTACCATCATTCTATTTCCACATCAGTCATTCCATTTTGCCACAATATTCTCATTTGTACATACCATCACTAACTTTACTTAGGTGACAAAGTAAAGTGCCTTGAAAACCCTATTTAGTTTCCCCAATTCCCTGTGGAGACGATACTCAACTTATCACTCTATTACTTTTTCGATTGTATATACTAGCACATATATCTACAAACATTTATAGTACTCACAAAGAGCAGACAGGGTAATCTCGTAATTTCTTAATCAAGTATTCTCGACATTTAACTTTTAAAGAAATTAATCAGAAATTTGGATCACGAGGTTAATTTATTTACTAACTAATCTCTGAACTTAGAATTGTTTCCGATCAGTCTACCAATTTCTTTTGTGAGCCGTATGAATCTTATATAGTGTACTACCTTTATTCCATATTTAGTTTTAGTCCAATGATAATTAAATACACCTAATTAACCAATCATTTCTATTCATGTATTTACCAATTATTAATGAGTTTCGAAAAGAATACAAAAGGTAGTAGAGTATTACCTCAATTTACGAGTAATATCAATTAACCAATTAAACTCCATTTGATCGCTTTCAAACTTAGAATTCCACATTCCATAATGTCTCGGATACATGGAAAAACCAATTACATTAGAAATGGAACTTAAACATGAAAATTTGTATTGAATCAGGAGCTAAAAAATCAAAAAACAACTTATAGGGATTGAATTTGGCAAAACGGACTTCGAATTCGGACTTAGGAAGTCGAAAAACATAAAATATGACTTTTTCATATATATTTTTGACTTATAGGTCAATGGTCAACGGTCAACAGTCAACTCTGGTCAAAGTTAACGGTTAACGGTCAACTCTGGTCAAAGTTAACAGTTAATGGTCAACTCTGGTCAAAGTCAACTGTCAGTCAAAGTCAACGAGTTGACTTTATTTGAGTTGACTCAACCGAGTTAACTCAGTGAGTTGACTTAACGAGTTGACTCGGCTTGACCCAGTTCAGTTCTGACTGAACCGGTTCCAGAATGCTCCTGGACCGACTAAAGAGCTCCACGTGCACTGCCGGCGCGTGCAGCAATGACAAAGGTCGTTTTTACCTATCGATCTTCCTTGGATCATCTACACACTCTAATTAATCAGATTTCAACCCAAAATAAGCCAACATATTCTGAGACACTACCGAGACGTCGTGCGTCGAAAACGACAACAACACGATGGCTCACTGGTTGGGTTTCGAGCGCCCGGGGACGACGAGTAGAGCTACGGTGGCGGTGAGGCGAAATGATGATGGTGGTTGTTAGATTTTGCAATTAACCGAGGCGACGAGAGGGGTTTCTCCGACGAAGCTTCTTCGGTTTTTTCTTAAAGATTGGCGGCCGATTCCAATAAGAGGTAAGGGGCTTTTGGTCAGAGCGATGTGGTGGTTCAAATAGAGGTGGCAGCGGTGGCTATGGAGGTCGGACGGTAGTGGATTTGGGAGGACGGTGGGGTACGGTTTAGGGGGTTAGAGATTTGGGGAAATTTGGGGATTGAGTAATATAACCAGGTTTTAAACTAATATATTATATATTTAATAAAAATATTATCAATAGTACCCTAGCCTAAACGGCTAGGGCATAGGCGACCTTATCTCGAGGACAAGGGTTTGAACCCTGCGGCCAACGACTCCTTTATTTTTATTTTTTTCTCTTCCGACGTAAAATGGAGAAATTTAAGACTAAGTCCTTGAACTTCCTGTAGCTTTTTAAAACATGCTGCAAGTTCCAAAAACTTACAATTTTGTCCCTAATTTCATAAAATTATTATTATTATTTTAAATTAAATTTGAGGTGTGACAGAACATCGGTTAGGCCTTAACTGATACTCTAACAAGATTGGGACTGTATTTCCCGTGTGATAACTGGTAGAGTAGTTAGCTTAACCTTGTGTAACATCATCTATACTTGATAACAGTGTAATGTTAATAATGCGATCACTTTAACTTTTACATTTTTTCATCATTCCTTCACTGCTCCTGATATTAATACAAACTTTTATTTTTTATTAGAGTTTGCAAGTAATACATTCAATGAAAGCTTTGGCGAACTTCATTTCAAGGAAAATTTATGTATTTCCACCGCCAATATCATCATGTATAGGGAAAAGTGGGAAGCTAGGTAAGATGGCAGATATGTGCTAAAACAGGTGAGGGTCCCCACACAAGAATTCTTGCATGCATGCAGGGAAGATGGGCGTAGGGGGGCAAATCAACGTATCATTTGATGAATTGTTCGCGAATCGTTCATATAACTTTTGTTTAATAAACTAAATAAATGAGTATGAATAATTTTTTCATATTTATCTAATAAACGAATAAATATGAACAAATGTATATTTTATTCGTTTATATTCACGAACAAACTCATTTATTAGATTGTTTATAAGCTTGTTTATCGATTCGTTATAAGCACATTTACTCGGTTCTCATTTTTCTTTTAATTTTTACATTTTAAATATTAGTGAAGGTAGAGATTAAATTGAACATAATGTGAACTTTGGAGTTCAAACCGTAAATCCTAAGAAAATTAAGGACTAGTTGTATAATTTTATCATTTTTGTTTGACTAGTAAATAAAGTAATAAAAAGACAGCGTTGGTTGCAGTCTTACAAAACATGTTCGTTAATATTAAGCGACTCACGAACGTTAAATTAACGAACACAAATTAAACATAAATATTTGAAAAATAAATATGACGAACACGAATATAACTTCATTCATTTAAATTTGATTCATTTATTTATGGGCGTTTGAATATGCAATTTGTGCAGCCAAATTCTGATGAAGTTTTGGAAGATGAGGATAATATTGTTGATGAATTAATGAAGGAAGACATTCATGAAGAAGGTATATAGAGCATAGGCAAGCCTCGTCGTTTATAACAAACACAGAATGAAGTTTATTCTGTACATTTTAATGCATTTTCTTAAAAAAAAAACTTGTGTATTTTAGCCATCAGGGGTATTTCAACTGATTAGTTAACTAGACTAGATTCTGGTACCTTCATATAAATATATAATATTTCATTTGAAAGCAGCTAATATTGGATAAATCTTGTGATTTGATACGATTTAAATACAAATTCAAAAATTTTAATTTAATAAATAATTAGTTGATTTAATGGGATAAAATATTAGATTTTTTAAATAAATTAAAGATTCGAACCATATAATTACGAATAAAGTAAATTAGATTGAAAGATTTGCTCTATAAATAAATCTTTGTTCAAATCAATCAAAAAATCAAATATTGTAATTAAAAAACACTTAGGGTGCGTTTGGTTCACGGAATGTAAGATTACCAGTGGGAATAAAATATTACTAGGGAATAGGATTACTGAGAATGTTGTATTTTGTGTTTGGTTGGTTTAGCAGGAATGTAAGATTATCGTGTTTGGTTAAAGGAATAAAAGATTATTGGAATATATATTTGACCAAATTATCCTTATTATATATTTGTTTTTTTAGCAAGTTGGAAAATATTTATATATTTTCTTTAAAAAAATTAAATTCATAAAATTTATATAATTTTTTTTACAAAATTGAAAATATAAAAAGGTTTAATGAAAGGGTAAAATTTTATTTTAACCTCTGAACTTCATATAAAAATTTAATTATAGACTTTTTTATGTAAATCTAAAATAGTTTAAGGATAAATTTATAATTTAACGTTCGTAGAATTTTTATTATTCAATTACAGAATAAGGATATTTTTTAAAGAAAAAAAATTAAGGACATTTTAGTCCAAAACGCCGGTAATCCAACAATATCTAAGGAAGGGGGTAATGACATTCCCGGTAATATACCTCAAAAAATTCACTATTGGTAATATAAGATTACTGGAAATGACATTCCCAGCCAACCAAACGGGGGATTGTGGATTCCATTCCCATGGGAATCTCACATTCCCCCAACTAAACACACCCTTAGATGTATAAACATATTATTACATTAATTATAAGATATTATATATTGTCTTGTAACTATGATCCGATCCTTATTCATGGGAATGAAAAACATTTCATCATTAACTCATTATTAAATATGTGCTATGAAAACAATTTGATTCTGAAATGAAACAAGAAAAAAATGGAATAAAATCATTTTCATTTGTCAGCGACTTTATCATGATCCTTTATCCTTAATTTTATTTTATTTTTTTTCAAAATCAATCTTCTCTTAGTTTTTGATTCTCTTAGTTTAATTCGTTTTAAGAATTAGGGTTCTTTAATTTTTCTCTCTTATTAATAATATCTCTCGAAAGTGAAATTTGACATCAAAATATTTGAAATTGTATGAACATATTTTTTATCTTAACACACGCCATTCTAACTCTGGTTGTCTCATCACAACCTTTCACAGCGACTGACAATAACGGTGGTAAGTGTAATCGATTGTGAGAAGTTTTAGTCAAATACAATGATCAAATTGATATTGTACTTAAAATTTCATATAAAGTTTAGATATCAAATTAATATTTTATCTAAAGTTTAAGAATTAAATTAAAAATTAATTCAGTTTATTAACAGTTATATCATCTGTTGACGAAAACGGGTAAAGAAAACGAAAGAACACGAGAATTTTACGAGGTTCGGCAATGTGCTTACGTCCTCGGTGCCTAGGCGGTGCTAGAAGTTTTATTCAATGATCTTTTTAGGTCTAGGTTACATCTCTATTTATAATAGAAAACCCTGGTACATAATTACAAAATCAACCCTGTACCGTACCGCGGGGGCTGCGCCCCCACACCCCCAACCCACATAATTCGTAACCCCACAACGAGACTTTTTATGAGCCATACATAACAAATCTCCACCTTGGCGAATATCCTGCCCCTTGGAAACTTCAATGTGGGTTGGGTTACCTTGCTTCTTTAACAACTCGAAACATTCAACAAGTCCAAGCAATGCTTGTACTTGTCTGTCGTAACTGGCTTGGTGAACATATCAGCGGCATTCTCATCAGTATGTACCTTCTGAAACAAAACCTCTCCAGATGCAACCAACTCTCTGATCTTGTGGAACCTTACATCAATATGTTTAGTTCTAGCACGATACACCTGATTCTTAGCCAAGTGAATAGCACTTTGATTATCACAAAGCAATTGAACTCCACCTTGTTGAACACCCAACTCCTTCACTAAACCAGTAAGCCATAAAGCTTCTTTTGCAGCTTCAGCCGCTGCCATGTATCAGCTTCAGTTGTAGATAGTGCCACGACAGATTGAACAGTAGACTTCCAGCAAATAGGCCCTCCACCAAGAGTAAACACATACCCTGTCGTAGATCTTCTATTATCCAAGTCACCTGCATAATCTGAATCCACATATCCTACAACCAAAGGGTTATCCCGCTGACTCCCAAAAACAATTCCATGTCCCACAGTACCCTTTAAGTACCGAAAGATCCACTTGACTGCTTCCCAATGTTGCTTACCAGGTTTAGACATGTACTTACAAACTTGACTAACAGCATGAGCTAAATCAGGACGAGTACATACCATCGCATACATCAAGCAGCCAACAGCATTAGAATACGGAACCTTTGCCATATCTTCAGCTTCCTTATCTGTCTTGGGGCACTGTTCTGATGAGAGCTTAAAGTGATTCGCCAATGGAGTGCTAACTGGTTTCGCGCTGCTCATCGCAAACCTTTCTAGCATTTCTCAACATAACCCCGTTGAGATAGCCGCAGTTTCCTTGAGTCTCTGTCCCTGCAAATTTCCATTCCAAGAATTTTCTTTGCAGCACCTAAATCTTTCATATCAAATTCCTGACTCAATAAAGTTTTCAAACCGATAACATCATCCATGTTCTTCGCAGCAATCAACATATCATCAACATACAGTAATAGAAAAATAAAAGAACCATCATCAAGGCTCTTAACATAGACACAACAATCATACTCACATCGGTTGTAGCCAATCTTGATCATATAGGAGTCAAACCGTTTATACCACTGTCTCGGAGACTGTTTCAACCCGTACAAAGATTTCTTCAATCTGCAAACTAAATGCTCGTTTCCAGGTTGAGTGAAACCTTCAGGTTGCCGCATGTAGATCTGCTCCTCTAAATCACCATGCAAAAAAGCAGTTTTAACATCCATCTGCTCTAAATGCAAATCCCAACTAGCCACCAATGCAAATACTGCTCGGATTGAAGTGTGCCTGACCACAGGAGAAAAGATTTCATCATAATCAACTCCTTTCTGCTGTGAAAAACCCTTCGCTACCAAACGAGCCTTGAACTTCTCCCCCTCTTTTCTGTTACTACTGGTTTCTTCTTATACACCCATTTGCAACCAATCAGCTTCTTACCCTCAGGAAGGGGAACTAACTCCCATGTGCGATTGTGATTCAAAGACTCCATCTCCTCAATCATGGCTGCCATCCACTTGTCGTTTTCCTGACTAGTAACGGCATCATGAAAAGTAATCGGATCATCACTGCTAACAATAAGTGCAAAAGATACCAAGTCTTCAAAACCCAATCTGTTCGGAGGCTTTATATTCGTCCGTCTCACCCTGTCTCTGGCGAGACTATAATCCTGCAAATCATCCGTAGTGGAACCACCAGAAGTCGGTTGAGAAGTTTCTGGTTTCTCAACTGGAAACTGCTCGAGATCCACCACTGTCGTGTCTTGCTTCTGCTGCAACATGGATTGTTCATCAAAAACGACATCTCTACTAATCACAACTTTCTTCGCAACTGGATCCCAGAACTTGAATCCTTTGACATTTCTTGTAACCCAGAAAAATGCACTCCTTCGATTTTGCATCAAGTTTGGATCTCTTATCAGCAGGTACATGCACATAAGCAGGACAACCAAAAATCCGTAAGTTATCAAAACTAACATCATGACCAGTCCATACCTCTTCTGCAACTTTCCCAGCCAGCGATGCCCTTAGCGATCTGTTGATAAGGTAACACGCCATGTTAACAGCCTCAGCCCAGAAGTGTTTGGGAAGCCCCGCATTCAACCGCAAACATCTGGCTTTCATTCAACGACCTGTTCATTCGTTCCGCAACACCATTCTGTTGTGGTGTCTTGCGCACTGTAAAATGCCTCTGAATCCCATGCTCCTTACAGAATTGTAGGAACTGTGAATCTGTGTACTCCGTACCATTATCAGACCGCAAACACTTGATTTTTCGTCCTGTTTGGTTTTCTACCTCAGCTTTCCACAGCTTGAACTTCTCAAAAACTTCAGATTTCTGTTTCAAAAAATACACCCAAACTTTCCGTGAAAAATCATCAATAAAAGTAACATAGTACCTAGATCCACCCAAAGACGATGTCGTGGAAGGCCCCCATACATCAGAATGCACATAATCAAGAATCCCTTGAGTTGTGTGCTTCGCAGTCTTGAAACGGACTTTAGTCTGTTTACCAAGAACACAATACTTGCAAAAATCGAGCTTACAGCTTTTGACACCATGCAACAAGTTCTCTTGTGTAATTCTGCCATACCACGTTCACTAAGATGAGCAAGGCGCATATGCCACAATTTTGTCGTATCATCACAGGACTCAACAGAGTGAACTCCACCTGCAACGGTACTCCCTAACAATCTGTAGATATTCTCTGCAGTCATCTTGCCTTTCATCACAGTCAATGCTCCTTTAACAATCCGAATGGTTTCCCTATCCTCGTCAGCCTTAGGGATAAAACCATTCTTGTGCAAAGTGCCCAAGGAAATCAAATTCTTCTTCAAGTCTGGGATATGTCGAACACCACTCAACGTCCGAACGGAGCCATCGTGCATCTTAATTCTGACATCACCAATACCAACAATATTGCAACATCGATCATCACCCAAATAAACCGAACCAGAATTAACCGGCCTGTATGTCGAAAACCATTCCCTATTTGGCGTGATGTGATAAGAACATCCAGAATCAAGAATCCAAGCATCCGTCAATTGTGTCGTTGAAATAGAAAGCATATCACCCTCACTGCAATCAGAAGTATCATCCTCGACCACGTTCACAGACTTGGATGAGCCATCACGCTTCTCATCGGTCTGCTATTTCAACTTCGGACAGTCTCGCTTCATATGTCCCGCCTCCTTGCACTTGTAACAGTGAATCGTCTTCTTATCCTTGGATTTGGATCTGGAATTCCGCTTCCCGGACCCTGCCTTCTCTGGCTTCCGTCCACGATCTCGATTACCCTTGACATATAAGCTATCGGCTTGAGAGCTTTCCCCTGCATTCTGCTTCCGCTGGTTGTGAGCCAACAAGGCTGCAGTAATCTCCTCAACGTTGATAGTCTCTTTCCCATATGTAAGAGTAGTCACCATGTGTTCGTAAGAGGAAGGCAACGAACACAACAGATCATCGCTCTGTCTTCATCCTCAATTTTCACATCAAGCCGAGCCAGATCAGAAACGATTTGATTGAAGACATTCACGTGTTGCGCCAAATCGTGATCGTCCTGCATCTTCAGCCCATACAGCCGCTGCTTCAGATACAGTTTTGTCGTTAAGGATTTGGACATAAACTGACTTTCCAACTTCCTCCAAATTTCGTCTGGAGACGATAGATGCATGACGTGATACATGACCTCGTCCGCCAAGCATAATCGTATGGTTCCTGCCGCTCGCTGCTGCAATTCTTCCCAATCTTCCTCATCCATCGACGCCGGCTTTGTAGGTCGCAAAGCCTTCAAGATCCCTTGCTGCGCCAATAGATCCTTCACCCTCGTTTGCCATAATCCGAAGTTACCCTGACCATCGAATTTCGCGACTTCGAATTTTGCTCCTGACATCTGATACCAATTGTTGACGAAAACGGGTAAAGAAAACGAAAGAACACGAGAATTTTACGAGGTTCGGCAATGTGCTTACGTCCTCGGTGCCTAGGCGGTGCTAGAAGTTTTATTCAATGATCTTTTTAGGTCTAGGTTACATCTCTATTTATAATAGAAAACCCTGGTACATAATTACAAAATCAACCCTGTACCGTACCGCGGGGGCTGCGCCCCCACACCCCCAACCCACATAATTCGTAACCCCACAACGAGACTTTTTATGAGCCATACATAACATCATCTAAATAAAAGAGGTTAATGATTTAATGACCAAAATATAACCATCGGTAACATAAATGATTAAAATTTAATAAATCAATAATATAAATGATCAAAGTATAATTTTTAAAATATAATAAAAAAATATACGAATATAAGAAGAAAAGTGATCAATCTAGTAATTAATCCTAAAATTAAATTAAAATGCTAAAATGCATATATATATATATATATATATATATATATATATATAAGACAGGCGTGTGTGAGACCTTTGACGGTGATACATACAATAGAGAGGAAATTTGAAAAGGTAACACTCCCAAATATGATTCAATGTAGTAGTTCTTATTTAGAGGTGATTACGGGTAGGGATGGGAACGGGTGGGGTTAGGGTTGAGTTTTTTATCAATTCGATTCGACTTGAGAATATACAATCTTATCTCGAACTCGATCCGACCTAAAAAATTTATATTCTACATTTAACTTGATCTGACTCGAAAAATATATTTCATTTACTCGACTATGATTTCGACCCAATTTTTTAGAATACAAATTCGACCCGACCAGATACAAATTAAAGATTTAATTAAAAAATAATAAAAATTTTAAGAAAATTACATTATTATCCTCGAGTCTGATTGGAGTTTTTAAGAAATGAAAATTAGGGATTTCCTTCACAACGATTTACAGAATCATGGATTAATGGAACGGCGTCGGATGGCTTTGGAACAGAAGGAGGGCATGTGTTGAGGATTATGGGTGTGGTTATGTTTTAGTCCAGTTGTAGTGATGATTCATTCCACCCCACTTTCTAAAAGTATTACTAAACCGGTCATACCAATAATACCACAATTGTAACCAAAATCATATCCTTGTTCGTATTTAAGATGTAAAGAATCATCCCTTGATTAATTAGTGATGAGTCATAATATCGATTTATAAATAATGACGTAAACCCCAAAACACAAATGGATCCCTTTCCAATCTCAATGAAAGAGGCGTCAAATGCCCCCAGCTTAGCAACAACATGATGGATCATTAGAAAGGCCATATATTTCAACGGCTGTAAATTGCAATCATTCTGCTCGAAAAATCAATCAGTGTTTATCAAAGCGCCACCTAGTAAACATAATAATATTAATCCACTAAACACTAAGGATTTTTCTCTTTCTTAAAATTTTAAAAGTTCATCTCTAATGTAGAATTCTATTCCTATCCGTAATAATAAGAATGTGGTGGTTGAGAGTTACATCAAAAAATAATGATAGAGGAGGGATCTAGCCAATAGGTGCTCATAGTTGAGGGACCTCTATGTTGCTATTGTTTCTTGTATAAGTTAAAGATTCTTTTTCTTCCTGTTTTATAGTTTTTAGAGATGGATGGAGAATGTATGCACGATTTTAGTGTGATAGTTCAGTGTTATAGAAAGATTTGATTGATCGTGAAGTGTTAAGTTTGATAATAATTGTATTTGGACAATAATAGAACATAGATGATAAGATATATTTTCTTTAAAAAGAGTCAAAGAGTGGTTAATGTGGTTGTAACATGCCACATCAGTATTTTGTCATCCATATTGACAATGGATGATCGATTTGTTATAAATCAGTAATATTAGTGATTAATTTGTTATTTTTTAAACTTTATATTGAAAATGAAACTTTACTCAAACTTTAATAACCATTTATATATTTTACCCAAAATATTATCCCTCTCCGACTTGGCTAAACCACGGCATATGGGTCACCTAACTCTGATTAGATTCTCTTTAACCGAAACTTCTTATAAACCCGAATCTCAAAAGTAATCCCAAAGAAAAAAAAATATCAAAAATTAGTGTTCCCTCATCCCCTCCCCAAAAGGAGATCAAAACAATGCAGTCTTTGGCTGCCTCATCCCACCTGCTCCCTCCTCCACCCGCCGGCAACTTCCCCTTCTTCCTCACGCGCTTTCCCACGCTCCACCACCATCAAATGCAACCTGCCTTCCCAGAACCCAAAACCCCAAAAGCCCACTCCCCTCCTCCACTCCCTCTCCAAGCCCTTTGTTCTTGCCTCCGCTTCTGCTGCCACTCTCCTCATCACCATCACCCCCATTTCAAACAGTCTCCCTGGAGGCGGCGGAGACAACAGCGGCGGCTTCTCTGGTGGCTGCAGGAGCGGAGGTGGGGACTCCAACGGTGGTGATGGAAGCAGCGGCAATTTCTGGGAGAAGTTCTTTTCGCCTTCGCCGGCAATTGCGGACGATAACAACCAAAATCAAGAATGGGATTCTCACGGATTACCAGCCAACATTGTAGTTCAACTCAACAAGCTGAGTGGATTCAAAAAGTACAAACTTTCGGAAATTTTATTCTTTGACCGACGGCGATGGACCACTGTAGGGGCCGAAGATTCGTTCTTCGAAATGGTTTCGTTGAGACCAGGAGGGATCTACACCAAAACCCAGTTGCAGAAGGAGCTCGAAACATTAGCCACATGTGGAATGTTCGAGAAAGTTGATATGGAGGGAAAAACTAACCCAGATGGAACTTTGGGATTAACCATTTCGTTTACAGAAAGTACTTGGCAGTCAGCTGATAGGTTTAGGTGTATAAATGTTGGGCTAATGGCTCAATCCAAGCCTATTGAAATGGACCCTGATATGACAGATAAGGAAAAATTGGAGTACTATATGAGCCAAGAGAAGGATTATAGAAGGAGGATAGAGAGAGCTAGGCCTTGTTTGTTGCCAATGCCAGTACATAGCGAAGTGCTGCAGATGTTGAGGGATCAAGGGAAAGTGAGCGCTAGGTTATTGCAAAAGATAAGGGATAGGGTTCAAAAATGGTACCATGATGAAGGGTATGCCTGTGCTCAGGTTGTCAATTTTGGTAACTTGAATACTAAGGAAGTCGTTTGTGAGGTAGTGGAAGGTGATATCACACAGCTTTCGATTCAGTTCCAGGATAAACTTGGAAACGTTGTCGAAGGGAATACACGGCTTCCTGTAGTGAGGAGAGAATTGCCCAGACAGGTAAACAATTGATGGCTTTCTTTTCTCATGTTTAGAATGTTTATTTTTTTTTTTTACATATTGCAGATTCTTATTGTTGGTGTTATAGTTTGTGAGTTGTGACCTTCAATGCTAGTTAGGGAAGAATGATCTTTGGTTCAATTGTAAAATTCTTGAAGCAAATATTTGATTGTTTTATACGTTTTAGAAATGACTGTGAAGTGTACTATCGGATAAGTTAACTTGATAGCTATTTTTTTACCTTAAATGGTAGCATGCGTGATTTGATCTTTGGTACAATTATGAAATTCTTGAAGATATATTTGGTTGTTTTCTATATTCTTAAATAGCTTTGAATAAGAAGTGAGAAGAACTATTGTGTGAAGTTCAAGTAAAGCACTGACTTTGCTGCTTTTGAATAAGCTTTCATGAGGTATGGATTTGCTGATAAAATATATTTTTTGTCTTCAATTCTACAAGTAATAATTGATTTTAGTGTCTGGTTTCAGTCTCCAACGAATGACTGATTGTTAGTACCTTTAGCTGTAGAGTTGCTAATATGCCTATTTATTCAGTATTGATGATGATTGGTAGTTGAATCATGTTCGCATTTAATTTACAGCTTCGACAAGGCAATGTTTTTAATATTGAAGCTGGGAAACAAGCGCTGAGGAACATAAACTCGCTTGCTTTGTTTTCAAATATCGAAGTAAACCCACGACCTGATGAGAAGAATGAGGGCGGCATCATTGTTGAGATAAAGCTCAAAGAGCTGGATCAGAAATCAGCTGAAGTTAGTACGGAGTGGAGTATTGTACCTGGACGCGGGGGACGTCCCACATTGGTATGCAAATCTAATTATATATTACGCCTTGAAATTATTCTTGTAGATTACATGAGCGATTGAAGCTTAAACTTTAAACTTGTGATTTATATTGTTTGCATATTGTGCTGTTTTTTCTGTTCAGGCTTCAATTCAACCTGGTGGAACTGTTTCTTTTGAGCATCGGAATCTCAAAGGACTTAATAGATCTATTATTGGTTCCTTGACCACTAGTAACTATTTTAATCCTCAGGTGCTTTTTCCTAAATATACATGTTGCTCTCTCCTAGTTCTTGCAGTAACTTTTCTCTAGTGGTAAGTGTAAATTTGCTACCGAAGATATTTATGTTCTTCTTTTTTTTAGGATGATCTGGCTTTCAAACTAGAATATGTGCACCCATATTTAGATGGTGTCAATAATCCTCGCAATCGAACTTTTCGTGCAAGCTGCTTCAACAGCCGGAAACTGAGTCCAGTTTTCACTGGTGGGCCAGGAGTCGATGAAGTCCCACCAATTTGGGTTGACCGAGCTGGTGTTAAAGCTAACATTACAGAGGTATTCTGCTATGTTTAGAAAACTCAGGAAGTGACTTTAGGACTCTGTGTACCATCAACTCTATTGTGATCAATATGTTTCTGGCAGAATTTCACCCGTCAAAGTAAATTCACTTATGGACTTGTGATGGAAGAGATAACAACACGTGATGAAAGCAGTCATATCTCTGCAAATGGTCAAAGGGTGCTACCAAGTGGTGGCATCAGCGCAGATGGACCTCCTACCACTCTCAGTGGTACCGGTGTTGATCGAATGACATTTCTACAGGCAAACATCACACGTGATAATACCAAGTTTATAAATGGTGCTATAGTTGGCGAGAGGAATGTGTTTCAGGTTAGCCCATATATTTACATTTTGAATCTGTCTTTGCTGATACTGTTCTAATCAGGAATGAAATAATAGCATTGTTGGTAAAAGTTTTGCTAACATGTTTGTAATTTATTCTAATAGAGGTACCAAAGCCATTGTAGTTATCCTTTTAAGGTTTTAGCCTTCCTCGTGGAATAAGTAGGCTGATGTATCAGATTCAGAATAAGAGCCGCATTATTCTGTCTGTTGGATATGGAAATATCTTGTTTCGTGCATCGTTCAAATAGTTCAAATACATAAATTTAAGCTTACTAATAAGTGCTTTTATTGTAGAGCACTTCCTACCTTTAATAATGGTTGGTTTATTCATAAATTTATACTTAACAATTTATTTCCTAGCTAATTGCTTGCATTTTTTTAATGCAATGCAGGTGGACCAAGGACTTGGTATCGGGAGCAAGTTTCCAATCTTTAACCGCCATCAACTGACGCTTACACGATTTCTCCAACTAAGAGAAGTAGAAGAAGGTTCCGGCAAACCCCCACCACCTGTTCTAGTCCTTCACGGCCACTATGGAGGTTGTGTGGGTGACCTTCCAAGTTATGATGCTTTTACTCTTGGAGGTCCCTATTCTGTGAGAGGTTATAACATGGGTGAGCTAGGTGCAGCCAGAAACATTCTTGAGGTAGGAATATACCTATTTGTTTATCTCTTAATGTCATCAGTTATGTTGTATTTCTGGTGAAGATGCTAAAGAGGAATCTGATGATAAAAATTGTGGGAGAGTTTACATTTAATTAAATGACTGATTTATCTGAAATCTGTTTACCGATGTTGCATGCAGCTTGGAGCAGAGATTAGGATACCGGTGAGAAATACACATGTTTATGCATTTGCAGAGCATGGGAATGATCTAGGAAGTTCAAAAGATGTGAAGGGCAACCCGACAGAGGTCTACAGGCGCATGGGGCACGGTTCATCATATGGGGTTGGTGTCAAACTAGGTCTGGTGAGAGCCGAGTATGCTGTTGATCATAACACCGGAACCGGTGCAGTCTTCTTCCGATTTGGGGAAAGATACTAAGATGTTTAGGGTCTAATGCTGCTGCTTAATACAGGGTAGTCATTTCTGTTTCTAGCAACTGTTGGAGCTGTTGTGAATGTTACAGAGATTTTGAGATGAATGTAACTAGGCACACTATTTAATCGGCTTTCTTATTTCGAATAAATATTTTTGTTTTTGTACTATTTAGCGTTACAACTTCATCCTATTCAGTGCAAACCTGGAACTGTTTGGATTGACCACTCTCCTTCCACGTGTCGGTCTAGAATGAAGGATATTTTTTTACCAACTTGTGTTGATATTACTTGGGGTGTAACTTGCTGGATCACTTAGAACATATGAACACCATCTTGCAAGTGTTTAAGGATAATAGGCTACTAGTAGCAAAGAGATCCAAATGCACATTTGTACAAGAAACTATGAAATACTAGGGACATATCGTGTCACAAGAGGGGCTCTTAATGGATCATGCTAATGTTGAAGGGATTAAATCTTTAACTCGGTCTGTAGACCATCAACAATAATTGATTGGTTCTACCCGGCTACTATATAGTACATTAGCTATGAAAGTGACCCATAACAAAATGGACCCCTACATTTGGTTTATTAATTATTAATTATGTTAAATGTATGTGGTGATGATTCTACCTAAATACTCGATGCTACATTAACTACGAAAGTAACTCATAACAAAATAGAGCCTTAAATATGCCTCTATTTTTTAATTTAGTAATTATTTTCTTAATTAATAATTGGTATCAATATATTGATTGACTAATTCATATCAAGTTTTGTAGAAGTTCATTACAAGGGTGGTCCTCCCAACCCAATTTACTTCATATGTAATCACCAGAGTTTGAATCCCTCTAACTTAAAAAATTTAGTATCTCATCCGACTAGATAAACCGATCATTGGTTAACTTAGTAATTATTAATTATGCCAAATGCATCAAGCATAAGAGTTATCATGGCGGACAAGAATGTCATTATTTCTTCAAGAATGACAAAATCTGCAATCGATTTTAAATTTTTAAACGTGTATCCAACTCTTTTTAACAATATATGATGTTACTATTTCTTTTGATATTTTAGAATAATTATAAAAAAATATTTGTTTATAAATTTTATAATCATTAATAATACATCTTGTAGAGATAATTCTCCGAATTCAAAACTTTAAGAGAAGACAACATTTTTCTTAAGGCATAATACAAAAATAATTGCTTAACTATATCTCGAAAAACATTTTGGTGTTTAAAGAATTTTTCGTTAAAAATAGGTGCCTAATGTTTCAAACGTTACATTTTTAGGTATCCGGACGTTAACCGTCGTTAAATATCTCAGTTGTCATTGAGTGAAACGTGTCACGTTCTGGTAATTTTGAGATTTTATTTTAAAAAAATAAAAATATTTTTTATTATTAAAAAAACAGCCCCCGTGCTCCCTTCCCCTCCCCTTTCTCCCTTCTATTGTCAGTCAATCGATCGGTTGTGACTGTCACCGTCACCTTCATCAGCACCGACGTCGACCCCCAATCAAATCCCCGTTGGCATTTCTTCTTAAGCTGTCACCGTTTGTCGTAAAGGAGCATTTAAAGGTTCGTCGGATTTTAAGTCTCCATTGTCGTTCTTCTTCGATTCTGACGTTTATAAGCCACACAGTCGCCACCATTCGAACTACCGTGTTATTCATATCAAAACTCAACCGTCAGGCGACGACGATGATGACTGGAGATGGTCGAGTGGGTTAGAAAATTGAAATTGTGAATTATGGATTTAGATATTGGTGGATTTAGATATTGGTGGCTTTAGATTAAGGAATTTTGGGTGACAGTAAGGACGACGATTGATCAATAGGTGGTCGGTGGTGACGTGTGGGTGACCGTTCGACGATGACAATGGTGACTGGAGATGGTCAGCAACGGTTAACAACGGGATTGAAATGAGAGATTTTAGTTTTTAGGGTCTCTTTTATAATTTCAATGGAAATTTGAGATTTTTTATAAATAAATTAAATCTTTTTTTATTTCTTTAATTAAAACTAATATTGTTATTATTAAACAATTTAAAAATAAACGGTAGACACTTAAAAATATAACTAAAAAAACTTTAAACCTCTATTTTTAACGAAAAAATTCTTCAGATATTAAAACGTATTTCGAGGTAAAATTTTAACACTTATTTTTGTATTAATCCTTTTCTTAACTATCCAAGTCACTCGATAAATTTAAACTACTATTACGTGTATCAAAATAATAACATTATTGTATTAATATCAAGTTTTATTATCAGACTATCTATCAGCATAACCAAGGGTGGACCTTCATGAGGGTTAAAAGGAGCATTAGCCCCACTAATTATTTTCTTAAATATTAATTAATATTAAAAATATATTTTTTAAAAAATAAATTAAAAAATTTATTTGACCCCTCAATAAAAAATAATTACATTTGTAAAAAAATAAGACATTTTAATCCTACTAATAATAAATTTCTAATTTCTAATTTCTAATTCCATCCTTGAACGTACCAATTTTTTTATAAATTGTAGCATATTCTCTAATATTACCGACATAACGGGTAACAAGTTGGCTCGACGGAGCGTTTCATAATATTTATTTATTAATCTAAAGTGTTTATAAGTGGTAGTATTTATTTTAGGGACTCTTAAATAATTTAATAATGAACGTTTAAATATCAAATAGTCTTTGATGCTCAAACTTAATTTTTTTTTAAAAATAACAATTATTCTTTTAACTATTAAGATAACTTGATTCGTGTTATAACTATTTTTAACGAGGGTTGGTTAAATTATTTTTCTAATTTCGTCCCTGGTAACCTAAATTTTTCAATATTTGGCTTATCATTCATAAGCCACAATTACAAGTCGCATGTTCTTTTGCGACGTGGTCAAAAGAAGAGGAAGACCATGGCCACCCCAAACGTAGTAATGCGACGGGGTCAAAGGAAGAGAAAATAGAGGATCCGACAAGAATTCAGATACAAATCTATATCTAAAATTCACTTGGAACTTATGTTAACCGTTTTCATACATATATTTGGACATTAAGATCATTGCTCTTTTGCCCTCTTCCGTGCCAGAAAACGTTCTCTAGCTGCTGCAACTGCATCTTCACCTCTTTTATGATGGTTGCTTTTTGGTTGATCGGCAGACGGTTGCTTCTCGGAAGTGGTTTCTTGTATTGCAGTGTCTGGAAGTATATCTTTGGTTATTGGCTTCGAATCTCGAGACTCAAATGTTTCTCGAGATCCTGTTTCATCTCGAGTCTGGCTAGCCCCAGCAGAAGACTCGGGAGCAGCTGATTCAGGCAACGATTGAACTCTGTTGGATGCATCTTTCTCCTTCTCCTTCTCAGGTTTACCTAATTCATGCTTTCTTGAATCTGATTCACTTGACCCAAATGCAACATTTTTACCAAGATTGAAGTAAAAATCACTCAGGTCACTCTTCTTGGTAACCTTTACAACAGAAAAATGGTCATCAATTAGTCAAGGAAAACTAATCACTTATAGAAATGAGACAGAAGAGAATTGGGGAATTAAATGACAAACAAGAACAAACACCGTAATTATTCCACAACTAACAAATAAAAAATAAATGTAAATTATGTATTCCAACTTCATTTATTGTATTTAGCTAACTCTAATAACAATGTGAATGCAATTTTATTTTAAAAAAAAATTACCTTTTCATAAATGTTTATTTATCCCAGGTGACTAAATTTGAGACATAATGTTTCTAAACGCGCACACACAAATTAAAGATAAAATATAAAAAGATCAACTAAATGCAATGGTCCTAGCAGAGAGAGCAATATGAAGAATATGATGCTTTATGGCACTGAACCTATACCTCCTGCTACAGTATTTTCAATATATAATTCACCTTCCAGCAATGCTTCAAAATTTCCCGTCCAAGCAGATAAAAACAAAATTGATTTGTTCATTTAGGACACTCAAATCAACATATTAAGAACAACAACAGCATGCTAACCACCCTAGGAATTAGTAGCAATTCATTCAATCATAAATGTTGTAACATACAATAAAAGTAAAAAACCAAAATCATAAACAAAGGAGTCGAAAACAAACACAAGAAGCTGCAGAAAAGGCTACACTTACATCCTCTTTCTCCTCTCGGAGTTGTCGTAGGCGTTCCTCCTCCATCCATTTTGCCTGCTCAGCAAGCTTTTTCTTGTAAGCACTTGTCACAAATTTATCCTTGTCTGCATAAAGGTGATCCTCTTTACTTCTCTCTTTCACAAGCTTCCTCTCGTATACTATCTCCTGTTCCCATTTCCTTTGCTCTGCTTTTTTTATTAAATTATGAATATATTTTTGGCTGCTCAAAACAGTTAACATTATCACAAGTCAAATTGATAATTAATTTCAAGTTAGTTTTAAGTAATTGTTGATTTTTTTTAAAGTTCATTAGAAATTGTTAAGTGAATTTATACCTGCTGAATTGTATATACAGATTTATTTATTTTGATTTTGTTTTTTTGGGAAGGTGGACAGACAAAGGGGAATAATTAAGCTAATAACAAGCAAATAATCCTAGAAACCACAAAAAATGAAAAAAAAACCTTAAAATTATTAGAGAAAATATACCTTTCGCTCTTCGCGATCTTGAAGACGGGGGCGAACAACCTTCTCTTTCATCTCGTCGTAAACTCCATCGTAATCAAACACTGAAGGATCTTCCTTTAAAGCTTTCTTATGTTGCTCCTCTACCTTCGAAAAAGAAAATAAAACAGATAAATTTCAATTAAGTTTTTTTTTTTTAAAAAAAATGCTCGAAAGAAAGAGGAAAGGAAATCAATGTGAATCTTACATCCTTGAGAGCTTTGTTCTTGTGAGCTTGGCGGGAAATCTCTCTCTCTCCACATCATCGTCGTCGTCTTCCTGGAAGCCGTGAGGAGGAGGTAGCGGGGGTCTTGTCGCCGGCTTTTTCTGTTGGGGCGGCAGAACCCTAAGCTGTAAACCGTACTTCTTCATCTTTCTTAAGAACAATATTTTGATCCGATTCCTTGGCAATACTTTATCGAAGCGTTAGCCAATACAAGGGTATTTCAGTCTCTGTAGTCCTAATAAAATAAGATTCCATTCCCCACCCCAATTTGGAGGGTTTTTTTCATAAATATATAAGAAAACGACTGTGTTTCGTAGTCTACTATTT